ATCAAAGGACAAGTTTTGCATCGTGCGCGAGCGCATTTAAAAGTGCCGGGTTGGTCATTAGTTTGGAATGAACTTCTGACCAAAAAATTGCCTATGTTTTGGTCGCGTTTGAATGAAATAAGTGGAGGTTGCGAAAAGATAGTGCCAGTCTCTGGATCGTTTTGAAGTAATTTTAAGTTTTTAATAATAATGGATTTAACTGAGTGGTTGTGAGGGTGAAACGTGAGAGTGAATGGAATGCGGTCGGAATTTTCCTTCTGTGACGTTTGTAGTGGGTAATCCCTCGACATTTTGTCGGGTTTCCCAACAAAGCCCTCCATGCATTTCTACTCCTGTGCGGCAGTTTCCAATTGGTGTAAGATTCTATCAGGAATTCTACTAGTTTCACTTTTCTCGAGCTGTGTTTGGTCTAGAAAACCCAAACCACTCAAAAAATATATTTTATGATAGTATCTGGAAGTTTCGCACCTTTGCAAGTTCACCCCTTCTTCGACGAGTTCGCCCATCCATACAACAAGTTCGCTTCCACCTTCATCAGTTCGCTCCAAATTCTTTCGACTTCTTCCTTTTGGGCAAATATATTCCCTTTTTGACTAAATTATAAACCATTTTGAAACTGAAAGTCGCAAAATCCGCGATACGAATTGATTCTTCGGGGGAGAATCGGTAGAGGAGGAACTTGTAATGAAGCGAACTTTTAATGGTTTAACTTCCAAAAACATTTTTGATAACCAGAGTAACAGCTATTTGTGAACTGCGCAGTATAAATAACGCCAATTGAGCTACGCTTAACGCATGCGTGTGCAGGTAACTGAGGTGTTTCCAAAATGGCGTCGTCCATAGTCGAATTTTCCGCAAACTGGAAGATAGCATCGAAAAGATTAAGTAACTCTCTGGAGTCTCAAATCAAGGCCTGAGCTAACGACTTACCCCAAGGGAATGGTCGACAACTATGACATTTCTCCTATTAGATATCGTGCCGCTTGATTCGTCATAATCGAAGGCGTCGATTTTGCTATTGGATCATAAAAGCACAGTTGCAATATTTGACACTGCCGTAATAATATTTGGATTTATTACAACTGCACTAAGGAGGGTACAAAAAGGCGCGAATCCAGTACCAATGTCGCGCGACATTCGGTCAGTTGGTTAGTTTGTAAAGTAAAAAAAGCCTGTTTAACCGGTCGGCTGTGCGCGCGACGCTTCTCTGTCAGCTTCACCGTTCCCACTTTATGGGAAACGCTCATAAAATAAACAGCTGAGCCCAGTTGTTAGAAGGCAGATTAGCGTTAACCCAGGGTTAAATTTAAATTCGGGTTTTTTTATTCCTATGTTCAAAGTCGTTTTTGAGATAAATTCCTCTATTCTTTTTAGAGCATACAGTCATTAAATTGTAACCAAAGAGAATCAAACTGAGTTTTCTTTAAAAGCTCAGTAAAGATCTGAAACCAGATTTCACACCAACCCTGAGTTATCTTGACCCAGCTTTAAACAACCCGGCCCTGGAATATAACTATTA